CGTGATTCACAGTAAAAAAGTTGCGCGACCGTCGCGCGTTTCCGAAGGCTACTTGGCTGTATCCCAATGGAAACGCGCAACAAAACGGCCCAAAGTAGTACATGTACCTTTTCAGGCGTGGGCCGTTTTGTAGCGCGTTAGGGACGGGCAGAAAAACGCCAAGGTGGGAACGAGACCATTGAATACAATGGGATTTATATTTTTGAGCGTTTTGTAGAGCGTTCGTCGAGCGTAGAACGCGCTACAAAACGTTCAGGTGTGAACGAGGGCTAATGGTAGTGTCACCTCCTTTGGGAGGGGGACTTTAAGTCTGGTTTATTTTTAATTATATATTGCTTGAGTTTTGATGACTGAGCAATCTACGTTTTCGGTTTAACTGGTGTTGGTTTTAAGCTATTAATGGTTTGATTAAATTCAGTTAACGTTTAAACCAATAAAAGTGCCGCGGCAATTTTCTTCCAAAATATGTTGGTGTCTGTATTTTTATTTATTTATAAATAGTGTACCGCCTGCAATTCCATGTAAGATGATTTTATATCAGCATGCAGATTTTGAGTAAAAGGGGGTAAAGGTCCACTTTAAGGAATTCCACTCCTCTGTCACAGCTGTGAGAAATCTGTAAAAATAAACCTTATTTTCTTAAGGTCTACCCGAAAAATAAAACAACTTTCCAATTGGCTGGATCTTTTTTTTTATCTGTTGATAGCTCACTGTTATGGTATTACAGTAAACGGTCAGCCAGTAGAAAAACTAGCCAATTGGGAATCATTGTATGTTGGCAGAAAAAAGTTGTTTCGTACATAGAACTTTACAGCTGCTTTCTAGGGACTGTTAATGAGGTTTGTGACTATGCCCAAATACTCTGAGGGGAATTTATCAAAACTGGAGCAGCTTTGCATGCCAACCAATCAGCTTCTCTGTTTCATTGTCAAATCTTAACTGAACAAACTGAAGAGAGAAGCTGATTGGTTACCATAGGCAACTGCACCAGGTTCTGTCTGCTCCAGTTTTGATAAATTCCCCACTCTGAATTTTCACAAGCTGCTCAGATGAGGCATTCAGGCAAAACCCATCATCAGGACACGTGTGTTGTCACAAGCCCCTTGATTTTACTTTGTTCCACTTGATCCCTCTCTCCATTGGTGAATATAAACCTGCCAATTAGCCATGACATTATGGCCACCCACCCAATACTGAATCGGTCCCCCTTTTGCCACCAAAACAGTCCTGAGCTGTCAAGTAGGACTGAAACGACTAATCGATAAAGTTGCACCCTCACTCCCTCCCCGCTCACATGCTTGTGAACACTGACTGACTGTTTGGCTACTGCCCGAGGACTCACGGCCTCCTCCTCCTCCCCTGGATGATCATAGTGGACTGAGGGGATGAATAGGGTGTATTGTATGTGTAATGTGTGCGTATTAGGTGTTGCATGTGTAAGGTGTGAGTTTTAGGTGTTGCATGTGTAGCGTGTGTGTACAGTGAGTGGAGTCCGTGGCATAACAACCAGGCAAGGAGGGTGAGACGGTGCAGCTGTCCCGGGCACAAAGATGGGGGGGGGGGCAACGAACACATTTAGGACCGGTTCACACCATCTCCAGTGCATTCCGGCACAGTTAGTGGCTCGGAACAAACTGGTTCGCATAGTGGAAGCCTCCTTGCGTTCTGGGGCAGGAGGGGTTGTGGCGGTGCCATTCACTATTTTGTTGTGGCATTGTTGTGCCATGCGTTCTGGTGCGGGCAATCGCACTGTGGGTGGGGGTGTGGCTGTGGTGCTATTGATTTGAATGGCACTGGCACACCCCCTCCTGCCCCAGAACGCAAGGAGGCTTCCACTATGCGATCCATTGCATTCTGTCCACTAACCATGCCGGAACGCACTAAGGTTTGTTGTGCACCGGAACTAAAGACTGTGAAACACTACACACGGAGCTGCACGCAGCAAAGGAAAGTGGCGGTGCGCGCAGTGTGTCTAGCAATATTCTCTCCTGCACTCAGCTAGGCGAGAGCTAAATGTGGCAAGATGAAAAATGTCATCTCTAGCCAATCGGCTCACACGTATGAATCTGACATCAGGATACGGATTCAAGTGTGCAGCCAATCGGATTCCCCCAGAAAAGTCATCTGGTGAGAGGAGTCAAGAGAGAAGTCTGCTTAGTAATGGTTTGCCTTCCTGCACAAGTTCTTTCTGTGACATATGCCAGGGATGAAAGCCATGCACAAATAATTAATATGTCCATTAAATAATGAATTAATGATATTTAATAATGTATTAAATAACTAATAATAGTTAATAATTTAAAAAATCAATAAGTAATATTTATTAATAATTACCTAGTTAATAATAAACATTGAAATACATTTTTCCTCCGATTAATTAAAAAAATAATCGGCCAACAAATTGATTATGAAAGTAAGCCCTAGTGTCAAGGCATGTACTCCACTAGACCTCTGAAGGGATGCTGTGGTATCTGGCACCCAGCTGTAAGGTAACAGATCCTTTATGTCCTGGAAGTTGCGAGGTGGGCCTCAAATGGATTTAGATCTGGAGAATTTGGAGGCCAAGGAAGTGATGTAGCAGCAGCAGGGATCCAATACTCCCGGAAACTTTGGATTCCTATGAAATTGACTAGGCTTTTAATGTTAAGGTGATGCATCAGACAGCTATCCTATGCATTCCAAATGCAAGAAGTGTGACCCCTACTTTTTCTCTGGCCTTCTTCCTGCTCAGGCTGGATCCTGGATATTGTCTTTGCCTAAAGATGGAACCTAATGGTGGTGGGCACCAGAAAGAAGATTTCCCTCCCCATACAACTGGTGACCCTTCCCCTCTGTTGCCCCTGCTGACTAGATTCCCTCAAACTTGAGATCTATAAGTAAGGTATACAAGAGAGGGTGAAAGACTTTAGAAGTGTCAGGCTCCTAATTGCACCCTCTCTTTAACAACACCTAGCTTGCAGTTGTGAAAACTTAGACTGAAAGTCAGATTTTAAAAATTCTTCCTGGATGCAGTGACACTAATTTCCCTTTCCTGATTGGCTGGAACCATCATTTTTTTCTTCTATTGACCTCAGTCAATAGATACTAGCCAAATGGGAAGAGGGATGAAGGAAACAAAAGTGGATATTAACACATATGAAAATGTTTTGGATAAAGTTGGGAAGGGTTGGGGGATTCTGTTGTCTTTTTAGGACTTAAGTAGTGCCAGTCTAGGAACCTACAGCGGTCGCTCCCCCTCTATTAGGATCTTCAGTGAGATACACAAAAAGGGTTGGTAGAATTTAAAAGTGCCAGCCTAGAGACCTACTGCCTTAATAAAAGTAAAAGGATTGGATGAGGTATTTGAAACACTTTGTGCTTACAATTCTTTCAGGGCTCGTTTCCACCAGCCCGTGTGCCGATCACACTGTCCCGTGCTCGGAATGCAAGGGATTGCATACACAAAGTCTCCTTGCATTGTAGGGCAGGAGGGGGCATGACAGTGCCATTCATGTCAATGCCCTGCATTCCAGTGCGGTGCGATCGCAAAAAATCGCGCATGCACTATATTTTGCGGTCGTACCACACTGGAACGCAGGGCATTGTTTTACCACTGCCAGACCCCTACCTACCCCAGAACGCAAGGGACAGTGCGATCAGCGCACGGGCTTGTGCAAACAAGGCCTAAAGGAGGAGGAACATTTTTTTTGTCAGGGTTGCTATGGAGTAGCAAGTAGAATTCTATCTCTAATGTTAAAAGTAATAAAAATAAAATGTTAGGTCTGGTGACAGGGGCTCCATGTTTTTATTTTGAATGCAGTGCAGCCCTTCCAGAGTTCCACAGTAATGTTTTGTGCACGGGTTACAACAAACAGTCTTTAATCCAGTGTACATAGACTAACAAAAGCAATCCAAGATCCTATACAGGCAAACCTTTTTACACAGTTCCTAAAAAAGAATACAAAAGTTGACATATGACATTGCACATTAACCATTATAAAAAGCTGAGTATTTAAAGAACATTTCAGTTCTATACAGTAAGGCACCTCAATAGAAAAATTTGGTGTCGGCAAGTTGTGTACAGTCTTACCAATAGAAATTAAGGCTTTGTTGTCATACATAGGTAAGCAGTATCCAAGCTTGATTTACATTCCAGTGATCGACACAGCAATAAAAGTTAATATCTAGCAGTTAAGCCTAACTTGCATTTTTTGTACTGTAGCTGCATTTAAAATAGAAGTAAAGCCAAACCTCTTTGTTGGCTATACAGCTCTTGTGGGTTCTCCTTTGAACCAAAGTCAGCAGATAGCTATCAGATGACAACGCAGAGATAGATCAGGACAATATTGCCGAGATCCAACCCAGCTGCATGATTGACAACTGGTTCTGCCTCTGTAGAGCCAAAGCCAGCTGTGCGGGGAAGTGATTGACAGGCATTTATCTCCACTGGGAGCAAAGACTGAGAGCTCACTGATCAGCATGTGACCGCTCAGCTCCTGGTGTTAGACCCGGCGTGTGACAGCTACAGTGCCCCACACCAGCTCTAAGCAGCAGGGAGACTATGTTCCGCTCTCCTTGCACTTCTCCTTTATAGGGAACTAGTCACAAAGCAAAAAACACCTGCCTGATTAGACTGAGGCACTCTCCAGACCATGTACGGCATATTGACCCCAATGCAGCAGCTCTGTAAATCCCCTTAGCGTCACTGCATCATATACAGTATGCAGCAACACTTTTAACTAGCTCATGATGGCAGAGATTTCTCAGCTTTTTTTTTGTGCAACAGGGCTGACCTCAGTGTGTAAATGTAATAAAGACCTTCATCTGCGGCACAATCTGTCAAGTTACATATCTATTTTTTGACCAAGCAGATGGCCCTCGTACTTTCTCTAGGAAAGTGGAAACCCCCTTTAGCAAAAGTGCAGAGAATATTTCTAATGCCAAACATGAAAAAATACAACGGTTTGTCATTTGCACTACTGTTCTGTTAAATAAATCTTCATATTAAAAAATATCATTTCATTCCTGATACATAATAGAAATATTACAGAAGCTGCGGCTCTTCTCCTTCGAAAGACCCTCTAAGTGTTGAAAACATTCCAACGTGTTTAACCATGTTAGGCTCCAGAGCCCAAGCCCACTCCCCCCTTCTTCTGAGCTCGTGGTATAGGGCAATATCCTTGGCATAACCTGGCTTGCACTCTATTTCCTTCAAGTAGGATAGAGTCCTTCCGGCAGACACCTCTGAAAACAGCATAGCCGGCGTGCAGCACTCTGTGACAGGCACAACATTGTAAAGGGCTGGGGAAATCCTCCGCAGTTCCAGCAGGTAGTGGCGCCCTGCTAGCTCCGCCAGCAGCATGGCATAAATGGTGAATGCCACAAACACCCGCCAGCTAAATTGCTGGTGGCGTAAGGTGAGAGTGTACACCCAGGTGAGGACCAGGCCTGCTAGTCCTCCTAGACCAATCCACTCCAAAATCCGCATTGGCTCTGGGTTGATGTAACCCTGAAGTCTTTCTGGGTGGTAGAATTTTACATACAGGCCACCTCCTAGTGGCTCTTGGGGGAAGCGCACCTGCACCAAATGGAAGAATGCAGTAAAAATATCTTCTAAAGGGACTGCATCATCCTCAATGAGTAACACGTATTTTGGGTTGTAGGCCTCCAATGTACGGGACAGGCAGAAGGCATAGTCCTGCTTCTCCTGTTCAAACCGGTTTGGGGCTTTGTCCACGTGCTTGCTCCAATCCCGTGCCACCATTGGCAACAAGTGGGACAGCAGACAGGCATCAGAGTGGTCCTCAGGAAATGAGTCAACGTTACAAATTAAAATCTGAAACGTGGAGCAGTCTTTGCCGCATTCCGACATCCGGTCAAGAAAGCCACGTGCCACCTGGAGGAGGTAATGATAATCAGACCGGCGCCTTGTTGTAATTATAGTGACAGCTAAAGTGGTGGTGCCACTGACATGTGATGGGCGAAGGCTCCCAGCTGGCCTAAGGATACAGGGCACTGATGTATTTGGAGGAAATGTGCTGGACATAGAGACGGTTTGATGGAAGTGCTGGAAAGCATTGGACCCATCCTGGAGGTTTCTTTGTAGGAACTCACGACTCAAACGCTTGAGGTTAAGTTGTCGTGAAAACAAGGGAGAGTAGAGAAGGTTGCGGAAGCAGATGGGGGTTAGGAGTAGAGTGAGCACAATGAGGAGCATAGAATGGAAGCAAGGAGACCTAAAAATGGCAGATAGACGCATGACTGATTAAGGGCACTGTGCTCTCATGTCATCACATTCACTATTTCCTTTTTATCGTGTTCCAGCTTCTCCTTTCTGCTTAGGACTGCAAGCATGTAAAATGGTCCTCCTGAACTAATCCTAGGCTTGTGTTTGCTTACAGACAGCTCCGGCATCCCATGGCCAAGCCTTTGGAGCATTCTGCAAAATAAATCACAAGAATCAACATATAGAACACTGCACAAATATTTAATCAGCTAAACATATCATAAACATACATCTTTGCTTGGTAAACAAACTTCTAAAGCAGCAGATAAAAGACCCAAAACTTCTATGGCCGGTGATAAGTTCCCAATTCACTTTGTTTAAGAACTATGGCCTCTGGCAAAATCTTCAATAGCAGTGGGCAACACAGGCTTCCAGCATCCATATGACAGCTCCAACGTTACTACTAGAGGTGCACTGAAATTAAAATTTCAAAACCGAAATGAAAAAAAAGGCCAGGCTAAAACCGAAAATGTTTTTTATTCTAACTTTCATAACTTGTGGACATTGTGTGTTTACTATATCCACAATCATGAATGAACAGGAAGTGATGTAGATCACTTCCCATTCATTCATAATTGAGGACACAGAAAAACATACTCTGTCCTTTAGGGCTGCAACAACTAATCGAATACGTTGATTATAATCGATGATGGAAAAGGTTGTCAACATTTTCCATCATCGGTCAGCTTTTGATTAGTTGCCCCTGTTCACGGCTCCACACACGCCGCACCTCCTCCCCGCTAACAGCTCTGAGCTCTCACCGCTGCCCGCCAAGAAGACGATTGCGATCGTTGCAGGGAAACTCTGGCGTGGGGGAAAGCCAGCTGCTGACAGAAATAAGTAAAGTTGCTTGGAGAGTGTGTAGGTAAGACTGCACTTCCCCCCCCAAATGGTGCTGGGATAGTAATTGGTTGTATTCCTCTATAGCTTATGGTACATTGCACAGTATATGTACCATCAGCTATAGAGGAATACAAATCCCAGCAATACACTATACACTGTATGTAATACATACTATGTATAATGTATTGCTGGGATTTGTTGTACTCCTCTATAGCTGGTGGTATTCTGCATTGTGCTGTATAATGTACTATTGCTGGGTTTTGTATTCCTCTATAGCCGGTGCCATTCTGCATTGATTGATGTATAATTTTACACTTTCCATTTCACTATATTGCACACCACACTTTTTTTTTTTTTACTTCCACCGCTCCAAGCCTGCTCCCGTGATGGACTACAATCTCAATGCAAACTAGTATTTCATCACTGGAGCCATTTAAAAAAAAAAATTAATCAAACTTAATAATCGGCTAACTAATCGATTTTGAAAATAATCATTAGCTGTAGCCCTAGACTGGCTCAATAAGTTACAAACACTCAGCGATCACTGGAGTGTTTGTACAAGCTCTTTATCCTGACACGCTGTCACAGGAGGCTGGGTGGGGCGGGAGGAGAGCTCAACAGCAAAATGTTTGCCAGTACACTCACCAGCCAGCATGCCAAAAAAACCTGTCTAACCGCTAAGGTGAAGCTGCACCCAATTTTATCTTTTGCTACATGTGCTCCAAGATGGAGACTAGATAGATAGACAGCTCCACACTACACAGAGGGGCCTTGGCGAGGCTGTGTGGCTTTCACATATTCTGCAGAAGACGTGTATCTAAAACCTCTGTTTTTAACCTTAGCGGTGAGACAAGTTTTTTTTTGCATGCTAGCTTGTGAGTGTGCTGGGAAACTTTTTGCTGTTGTACTGTATAAAGCCCTTCCATGTGCACCTTGCTTTAAAGCTGGTTATGAATTGATGAGTGCATTTGCCATTTGTTTTGCTTGGTTGGGAGGTAAGCTCAGCCTCCTGTGAAAGCAATAACAGCTGTCTCCGCCCACACCGCCACTCCCCATACTGACATGCTGTCACATGAGGCTGGGTGGGAGGAGAGCTCAGCCTCCTGAGACAGCAATGGCTCACACCATTCCTGATCTGTGAGGCTGAGCGCTGTGGGGAGGAGAGACGCCGGCCGCTCAGCGCTCTCCTCCATCACTGCTCGGCCTCCGGTGACAGTTTCTCTCCTCCCCGCTAGGACACAGAGCAGCGCCCGGTGGGGAGGAGAGAATGAATGGATGCACCACTATTTCGGCCAAAAAATTGCACTTTCGGCATTTTGCCAAAAGTGCAATTTTCGGGTGATATGTTTCAGGGGAAGATATATCGGTGCATCCCTAGTTACTACTGTGTAAATTATTACTGTAGGGGATGGTGTAGGAAACATAAAACACAATGGGGCACCAGGTTCAAAAATAACCAGAAGATTCTGACAGAGGCAGAAGCTCTTGCAGGGAGCAAAATTAAAATTTTCTGCCCACTGGAAATTTATGAAGCGCGTGTGGGGGTTGCTGTATTACCTCTGTTCCACATAGGATAAAAAGTTCTGAACCATTTCAAAGGGCCTTGCCTCCCATCTCCTCACAGCTTACAGTAAAATTAAAAACAAAAACCTTTTACATTACAGCTTCACTTTAGTGTTTGTCCAGTCACAACTTTTGTTTCAGATTTGGATAGGGAGGGGTTAGAATTCCAGCAAGGTTTTCATTGCCGTCTGTGTCCCCACTGGTAATTTTCACTCTAGCTATTGGACCTGGTGACTATCATCTCTGGTATAGAAAGTAATGAAAAATCCAACGTTTGAGCTGTTGCAGGAGGTAAGGAAAAATACTCCAGTGGGAAAACCTGTTTTGGCGAAAGCGGGGTCTAAACCTGGCTTGCAACTATAGTTTGTTTTTCTTGTGCATCCCTCTCAGTTCCCCCATACACATGAAACAGTGGATGGGTGAAATCTCTCCCTCCTCCACTGGGCTTTTGTATCCTGAATACCCAGTGACTCCAGCTGGTGGCTGTTTGGCCGAGATTTATCGGACCGGCTACATTCCCAAAAGTCACCTGAAAATGTGACTCCAATTTGCACAGTATATGGCCAGCTTAAAGCAGAAGTAACGTGGAAGATGTGGGAAGGGCATCGCTGAGTAAGGGCCCTACATATGGCCAGGGTCTCAGTGTAGGCGCTGATGCAACATAGTCAGGAACCAAAAGAGACCAGTCAGAAGCCCCTGCCCCCGCATTATGGGCCGGAGCTCTATGCCAAACACCTGTCCCGAGCCTAGCCTCTAACTGAAATGACAGATCATGGAGCCGAGGAGGGGGCCCCAGAACACTCCCTCATCTGTCAGGAAGGTGGACTAGGGGGTATTAATGAAAAAGGCTATGTTTCTTTTTTGTTTAGCCTAAAATTTGCTTTCAGTGCGTTCCAGGGCGTTTTTTTATGGGTCTGCATGCATTTTGGTGTGGTACTGAACACTGTGGTGTGAACTAGAGCCCAAAATACAATTGGAATACATTGGATGCATTTTTGATGCGCTCTGTAACTGCTCTGCATCTGTTCCTCACTTGGTGTGAACAAGCCCTTACAGAGATCACATTTTATATTCTGCTGTGTCTTTGGGACAGGAAGTGAAGGGAAATCTCTTCAATGTGAGACACGTTTTTTTACTGACAGAGGTCATCATTTCTTACTCTATCCCCCAAAAATGGGCTTTACATACCCTTTACAGTGGAACCTCCATCAAAGAGGAGGCCTGCTTCCCTGCCAGCCCGCTACTGCCCAAACACAAAAGCTGTAAAATAGGGTTACCAAAGATTTCATAAGAATGAAGATTAAAAAAAAAAAAAGGAAGACACAACTCACCTCTGGGTGACATCACCGCCCCTCATTGCTTCTTACTGGCCATTCAAAATCCCATGGAAATTAATTCCTGCACTGGGCCGGAACACATTCTCATTTGGAGTGCTCAGCTATCCGAGGAAGCAGCCGCGACGCGTGGTAACATCATCCGGGCCTCCTATCTTTTCTTTTTTTTAATCTTTATTTTTAACTTTTTTTACTACTAGTTTTGTTTGGGCAGCGGAGGGCTGGCTGGTAAGCAGAACGCCTGTTTTTCAGGGAAGTCCCCCTATAAGGAAAGCGCTGCACAAACTGTTATATATATTCTGTAATAATAAACCCGATCTCCGGGGGAAAAAGACAAATTCCCCTTGCAGTATGGCTGCCCCTGCACTGCAAGGGTGAACTGTATGGGGCTAGGGTACCTAGGAAAGGTAGTTTTGCTTACATGATCCCTGCTCCCCCCACAGTTGGCGTTCACCTCATCTCCCCTCCTAGACTGTCCCTTTGTAAACCTGCATATACTGGAGGGCTATGGGTCAGAGGGCCTTGGACCACCATGGTGAAGGGGCTGTGTGTGCTGGTCTTGCAGCCTGGATGGAGCGAAGATCAGGTAAGTAAAAAGGTATTTTTCAAGGAACCCTACACCCAAATAAGCATTTAACCCTTAGAGTGCAAGGGCAACCCTATATACAGTACAAAACGAGTTCCCCTGCTCTACATTTAGCCCTGCTGTGGACAAGCTAACCAACAACCTGCCCGGTGCCAGGAACTACATGTCCCGGGAGTCAGGTGATAGGAATCCTGCACCCCTGCACCTAATTGGTCAAGGGTTCACCCTACTGCAAGATAATGACCCAGACATACCTCCAGGCTGTGTCAAAACTACCTTAGGAGAAAAGGACAAGATGGTAAGCTTCAAATCTGGAGCACAGGTTCCAGACTTAAACCCCATGGGGCTGGTTTGGGATGAACTGGACAGAAGGGTGAAAACAAAGCAATCTAGAAGTGCAACACATCTGTTGGAACTTCTGCTACAGTGTTGGGAAGAACTTCCTAAACAATATCTGTAAATAATAAGGCAAGGCAACTGGATTTGCTGTATTAGTCATGCTTTTCACCCTCACCAGTACTCTTGGCATTCTTTCCTCTCCATCTGTTTTGACAAAAGTCCTGTCTGGATACCCGCAAGTTTTAAGGGCCCCCCTGAGGTGTTTGACCTCAGGGGGTGAGACGGCTATTGTCTGCCACATACAATGATGTTTGAACACCTCTCTGGGCAGGTTAATAACACTTCCTAGACTCCAATTATGCAAATGCAATCAACACATGGTTGTGACTAACAGAATATATGGATTGGAGAGACATTCACCATATTTATTCCCAGATAATTTTTTGTACAAGTCATTCTGAATGGAGAAAGCTGGTCGGATGTCCAGTGAAACGTCTTCAAGAAAAATACAGGAAGTCCAGCTGCCTTGACTTATTTTTTACAGCTATATCATGACCTGGATGAATGAGAACCTTCACAGACTTCTTCCTGAACAATATTTGATTTCCGTTGTAAACGAGTGTGTTCAGCTGTTATATCTGCAAAAGGTGGATACTTTGATAAATCAAAAATGTAGGTTACATTTTGTTAAAGAAAACAATTACATGATTTCTCAGGGTTGCAGATTTCCTATCTCCCGGCACATGCTGTTGTGGGCGCAAGAATTGTTTATATATTTAGCCCTGCTTCAGGTGAGCAGGGCTAAATGTAGAGCAGGGAAGCGCTGCTTGTTTTTGTGCAAGCGATCTGCGCTGATGTAAGCCTCCCAGATCACCTGTATAGCAGCCTCTTTGTCTGTCGTCCCTCGTCCCCCCCTGCTTTTATGGACCATCCTCTCCCTCAATGCCATAGTTTTCTGGGTCCCTGCTTTTCTGGGGGACCCAGGACCACGGCAATGATTTCAGGCTGGAGAATGGGGATCAGACCAGAGAATGTCCGTTCTCTAATCTGCTCTGTGATCAGTGACTTGCAGCCTTCATGTGTCAGCTGTCACGTGTGGAGCTGTGCAGAAGATGGAGCACAATGCGAAGCTCGATCTTATTGGAGGTGACAGGTTTCATAAAGAGACCCATGATAGCAATAAAGTTAGGTGAATTTTTTTTTTTTTGAAAGTTATAAAACAAATTATAAAAGTGATAAAGTTAAGAACATTTATAAAAAACCAACCACGTCACCCCTAGCATCTGCATGCGAATACATTTTTTTGTTTGTTTACATTTCCACACCGCTGTTTCTTTTGTCCAATTGTTTACTTGTTCTTCTATGCTTTATTTTTAGAGTACATTGAGACATTAAACTGCGTACCTTTCAATAAAAAGTTGAGAAATTGAGGTGTTCTAAAACTTTTGACAGGTATTGAGTATATATATTGTTGTACATACAATACATCACACCCATAGGCTCAGATTACCATTATATACCAATTTCACTGCCAGTGCTCCTGTATTACCTTTTAATCATTACACCGTGCCAGTGCACCTACAACATGGCTTACCTTGAAGAACCTCACCTCTTGAAGTGCCATGTCGTTCCAACTCTGGGTGTCACCCTGCCTGAACTAATATCACGACTTCCTAGCAACACAGCTTGGAGACAACTATAACCTAACCATCCTTCCCCAACCAACATGGCCGCCTGCAACAGCCCCGCTAAGGGGCGGAGCTTCCACCTAAACCAAATGGACTATCCAATAGGCGCACTTCGAGGGACGTCACTCTCTGCCCCGGGAGAAAGCGGAGGTACAACGCCTTTCTATGCTGCGGTGACTTTTCAACATGGCCGCATGAAGCTTCAGCAACACACCGCTAGTGACGTCACGCTCCACTGCGCCCTTTACCAACATGGCCGCTATAGCCCCTCCCAGGCTTTGGCTTGCCGTGACGTGGTTTCCGTCTCCGGAGTGGGCTTTGGTGAGCTGATCAGGGTTTGCAGGTAAATTCAATGGGCTGAATTAAATGGCTGTAGGGTAGGCAGAGTGTATGTGGGGTGGCTGTGGTGTCGAGGTAATGGACAGTGTACAGATGGGTGTATAGAGGGTGGAGGGGCAGAGCTCTCATGTAGACCCATTCAGCCATATTAGCTGTCAGAGTAAACTCTCTACAAATAAGCTGGCCATAACTATTCGTTTGATCACGGTGCAAATGTTTTAAAGCCTGACTCTAGCCATATCTTTCGTTTTGGATAGTATGGGTGAAGAGATAACATTTCAGGTAGCTATTTATGTCTAACTTTATTTGGGTGATTTTTTTTCCCCCTACTTCCTGTCCCTGTAAAACTTGCACAAAAACTAAAGGCAGTGGTTGTCACTGGAACATTAAAGTGGAACTGTAGTGTAGCTACTAGGCATGTGCTTGGACTTCATGCAAACTAAGTTTGCCTGAGCCCACGCAATACTGTTTGTAAAACATCCCCCTCCCAGCTCAGACCGCTGCGGCCGGGGGAATTCTTGCCCCTTTTGTTATGTATAGCTGCAGGGCCAGTGCCATAGCTTCCAAAGCTGCTGTATGCCAGAACGGTGCCCGCATCTGATTGGCCGATTAATTTTTCACCCAGCTCCTTCAACGACAGTTGACTGTTCTTCCTCCTCGGGCACTGACAGTTCCTTCTCCATGTGCTGCCACTGATATGTTCTCTGCCGCTTCGTCTGGCTCAGTGTCTCATCTCTTCCATCATTGATGTGTGTTGGAGTTACATCTTACAATGTAAGCTAGGAAAATAAATTTCTAGTGGAGAGATATCGGGAACCCCTGTACTTCCTAACAAATAGGGCAGGGCGACTATCTGTATCCAAGCGCAGGAAAAACATCCATGTGTGAATACATCTGAATGCGGATGGATGGCTGCGGCTCCCGTCAGCCTGTCATTGCTTTGTAAAGGCTGAGCTGCCACAGCTGTCTAAAACTGCCTGTGATTCCTGCTACACCATTCCGCACGTTCTTGCAGCAGGAAAGTGCAGCCGGACTAAAGAGCCTCACAGCCTTGGCGTGATATCCCAACATTTCCTTTCTCGACAGGAAGCGAGAGGAAATCTCACTGGAACCCAGCCATTAAAACCTGACAGAGGCTCTAACCCTGGGGTAAGCACACCATGCAGATCGTTTGTAGATGATGAAGTAAATTGTATACTTGATAGGATTCATATTACAAGTAGGTATGTGCATTGGCCTGAGGCTGCATAAAAGATGCCCTTGATAAACCCCCCTCTCGGCCCAATCAGCTAAGGCCACCCTGCAGCTACACCTAACAAAGGGGTGGGGAATGCCCTGATCACAAATGATTGGGCTACTGAGTGACGTGTCACTGACAGTTTTGTGCTTGTTCCAATGGACTAAGTTCGCAACATGCCCTTACACATCCCAAGGGTCTACAGTTCCACTTTAATGTCCCAGTAACAACAATAGTCTTTAGTTCTTGTGCGGGTGTCACTTGGACAGGAAGTAGGGGATAACCTGCCCCATGCTCTTGACAGGAGGTAAGGGAACAATCTGCTCCTTTCCCCAGCCACAGCTGACAACTTTGCTCAGGCTTGGGCGGGCTCAGTCCCCAACGAGTCCACGCACATCCCTATTTACAGGCGGCATTATAGTGCTGGATATCATACGTAACCTATAATGCTGCGCGATTCCTAAAATCAATTACTATCACTCATTTATATCGCAATATAGCCACCAAATTAAAAACATTCTGCAACTATAAGTAACATTACAAAGGGATCATGGAACAGCCTGAACACCCAATGGAAGGAAACAAATCATGTTTTGGGAAGTCAAGTCCCATCTCTGAAACTAGTTTCAAAGAGGGGCACTGGGGAGGTTTTTCTGGCTATTCAGCAATGGCAGCCTCCATGTTCCTGTCATGACATGATTCTTTTAAAGTGGGCGCCATTGAATGTAGCCATGTGGGCTGTCTCTCTGTTTGTCCACCGTTGATAGTCTCTACTAATATCACGGAAGTAAAAGTGGGTTTGCTAATGCAAACCCTATGAGGGGTATTTATCAAAACTGAAGCAGTTGCCCATGGCAACCAGTCAGCATCCACCTTTTCATTTTTAAACCTTAACTGAACAAACTGAAGAGAGAAACGGATTGGCTGCCATGCACAGCTGCTCCAGATTTGACAAATTCCCCCCATTGGGTTGTGGTTAGGAAGAGTTGCAGGTATGGTTTGGGAGTGGAGCACAATTCAGAAGCAGGCGTGCTTTGAACACTGCTATTGCTTTTTGCCTTGTAGTGACTTCTGTGCTGCCAGTGGAGGATATGTAACCAGTGGTTCTGTGGGGTGGTGGCCATACAACAGAGAGAAATTCTGCTTTAGTGGCAACTACATCATGCATTTGGTGCTGTTGCACTTATATTGTAGTCTAAAGGTGCCCATACACCTGCCGATTATCGTACGATAATCGCGGGTGATCCCGCGATTGTCCGATAATCGGCAGGTGTATGGGCAGCGTGCGACCGCTTCTACTGTAAGGTCGCACGACTTTCGTATTCCAAACGAAAGCGGGGGTGGGGGGCTTGCGATGATCACAAGTACAATCTGCCTGTCCAAGATAGGCAGATCGTACGAAATTTTAATCACTTTACAACCATCGCACAACGAAATAATTGCACCAAAGGGGTGCTGGGACAGGAAAATCTTTAATATTAGTATAATTGCACCAAGGTGGGCTGGGGGCAGGGAGACCTTCTGTATTAGTGCAACTGCACCTAAGGGGGCTGGGAAAGCTTCCGTGTTACTATAATTGCACCCTAGGGAACTGTGGGCAGTGGAAGCTTTTATATTAGTGTAACTGTACCCAAGGGGTGCTGGAGGCAAGGAAAGCTTCATTATTAACACTTTAACAGAGAAAGTAGTGTTGTCCTCCTGGCTGACTTACATATTGTAGTTATGTATTTAATTGTGTGGAGATGTATTGGTTTTACATGAGTATATGGTATTTACAGCACCACTGGGTCATACATATCAACATACCTAAAGGAAACATTTTGTGCTAATGAAAACCGTTGAATCAAGTTTTCCTTTTTGCTATTGGCTTGTAGTAAAAGAAAATAAGAATTGTTGTTGCTGTTATAGAGCCTAAAAATGGAGATTCGTTTGCAAAATTGAAATCTACAATACAAAGTAACTACTTGTTGATGAATTTTTCTTCTTACACAGCCTTGAAGCTGGGATAGACCCCTGAGCTGCTTATCTGTCCCAGTGGAGACTCCAGGATGTCGGGCCCAGGCAGTAAACGATCAGCGGGGGACTCTTCCTCGGGTCCGCCAGAGAAGAAGGCTTCAGTGGAGGATTCTGGGACCACAGTTGAGACCATAAAGCTTGGTGGCGTCTCCTCCACGGTAAACTCATTTTGTTTGTCCACGGTTATATTGTTTTTAAAATGAGCTTGGAGTATATTGCATATGAGTTAAGCAAGATAGTCAATTCAATTGATACTATGCACCATTGGGAGCGAATACACAATTTCCCCATGCTCACCCATTGCCATGATCTGCTGTCAAGAACCCGGTTACTCTGAATGTTCATTTGGTATGTGTTGGTGGAGCGCTGGACCACAGAGTGGGGAGAGAATAAAAGCTTTTTTGAGGCAGCTCTTTGTCAACTGGGGTATCACAAAGTATCCCAGGAGTAGTCTGTATGATTTTGGTGGGATGAGAGCACCACAAAGTCCTGTAAGAATTTTAATTATAATTATCAAGACGCGTAAAACATACAGCCAATGCGTTTCAGGGGCTCAAAACTTCTCCATCAGGGCTGAAAAACGAAATGACAAAGAATAATATGAGCTGAGTATCTAAAAATGCAGGCATTGATCTGTAGTGCATAACAATGGCATGTACTCTAACTGCTATACAATGACTCTATATACAGTCATAATTGGTAAAACAATATTTAAAACACCACAGGCAGTATATTAAAAACAAGCACCACAGCCACTGTATTTGATATGATCTGAGTCCCTGAAACTCATTGGCGTTATGTTTTACATGTCTCTATAAATACAATTCTTACTGGACTTGCTCAGACTTTGTGAATGTTCATTTAAGGAAACAGCCCACCAATGTGACACTTTATTTGGTGGACCCGTTCCCTTTTGTGGTAATTGTCATTTGTGAATGACATGTTTTGTTACTTCTAATTCTCTTACTACTGCTAGCTATTCCTGAGGTCTTACTTCCTGTGCTGAGGGGTATATCTCACAGGGGATGAGCAATGGGCTTCTGCTTTTGCTTAGTATCCAACCTCCTAGTGGCAGGGTTAAAGCCCAATTCCCATACATTTGCCATCCTCAACATTTATTTATTTTTAAATATCTGTATACGTAGTTTTTTTTTCCTGGGGGGGTCTGTGCTCCAGTTGTGTGAAGTCAATGGGCCTCTATCTTCCACTGGCAGTGGGCAGGTCCTGAATGCTGTAAACATGGGGGGTGTCATAACTCTCCCTGCAGCATTTTCCGGTGAGGCCATGTTAGCTTGATGACATGCCCCCATGACATAGGACCTTGACACCCTGAGCTGGTGGCCATCTTTCAATCCATAAGAGGACTGCAGCTGGATTGAAGAGCGGTGGATCTGTAGGGGACAGTTTGAGAGAGAGCGATCAACGCATTTGATTTTTTATTTTATCGTGGCTGGCCTCATTATTTAAAAAAAAAAAAAAACCTAGCTGGAATAGAGCTTTAAAATCCTTCTACCCCAAAGGTATGCTGTGTCCCCAGTGACCTCTTTAGGAAAAGTATTTTATCGTGCATACAAAAATCCTATTCTTTTTAGGAATGAGGTAGCACGTGTCACTACTCCCGTATTTCACATTGCCGTGCTCCATGTATAAGCAGACAATCGTAAGATGTGAGCCCTCTTCTCTTAGGACAGAGGGGGATGCATTGCTGTGACAGTAGAAATGTCACAGACAGGCAAGCATTAACTCCACATGAAGCCTGCTATCAAGTGAACCTGTTGCTTTGCCTAGTCCAGGAAAGGACAGGTTAGTGTTAAAGCCGTCCTGTAAATGTAATGTGTTTAAAAGGAGGGTTAAAAGGGTACTTATAAATGAATTGGCGCAGTGGTGTTCTGGATCGCTTAAATACTGCTCTACCCTCCTCCTGTTTCCTGTCACCATATTAGTGTTTGACGGTTAGTTTGGTTATTATAGACCCAGATTTTAGTCTGAGAAGATAGGTTTGCCAAGAAGAAGGCAAGCGAGAGAAAATGATGTAAGCCTTGATATATGGCTTTCATATTGTTATGCAGTTTACTCTTCTTAGACGTTTCTTTGTTCACTTGCTCCATCTCTGTTAAACCCAACTCTCCATCAACCTAAACTCCTAGCCCTGCTATCGTGTGCATGAGACAAGGTGATATAAGGCAGGACATCACATGTTTTATCTAGCTACTCTTTAAGCTTGACATTATTCTTGTTTCCCTTTAGGCTGAGTTCACACCCAGGCGTATTGAATATGCGTGTTTGTCGCACGATTCGTGTTGCGCATTTGTTGCGTGATTCGCGGTAAAACAACGCACATTTCTGAGGGCTACTTGGCTGTATCCCAATGGAAACGCGTGACAAAAACGCCCCAAAGAAGCTCCTGTACTTCTTTGGGCGTAGGACGTTTTGTAGCGTGTTCATACGGCCTGTAATATGCCCAGGGGTGAACCATACCCGTAGGAAATAATGGGATTTCGGTGTTTGAGCGTTTTGCAGAGAGTAGGAACGCGCTACAAAACGCCCAGGTGTGAACCAGGCCTTATTCTCCCCAGGCCAACTAACACCTGCCATAGTTTTCTTGGATAGTGAGCATGTGTAAAGAAGGTGGGACTGGGAAAGACAGTGCCGATTTAGTAACCTCTTTCATACTATTTCATACAATTCTTAATACCCTCTGTGTTACATTGTCATCTTCCCCAGGAGGAGCAGGACCTACGTACCCTGCAGGTGAAGAACAAGAAGCTGGCTGGTATGCTAGACCAGCGACAAGCTATAGAGGATGAACTTCGAGACCGCATCGAGACCTTGGAGAAACGGCAGGCCACAGATGATGCGTCACTTCTTATTATCAATCGTTACTGGAGCCAGGTCTGTGTTCTTTTGTGTTTTTATATATTGTAACAGTTTTTAAAGGGACAATATGGTGAATTTGCAGTGAGCACCTATTTTGAGTTTGGTATGACTTTTTTTTAATATAGTTTTACATGCTTACTGTTGCATATTATCATATCAAGGAGACGTTGTGAGCAAAACAAACACTGTTTTTTTAATGAAAAGTGTTTAAATTATAAGTGTTTCTTTTGATCTAATTACCTTGTTGAAGATCTACAGGAAGGGTGAGTGGAGAGCCACAGGGTTCAGTCTTGGGGCCATTTCTGTTTATCCTGTTAATAAATTACATTGAGGTTGAAATAAAGAGCTCCCTGTCGGTGTTTGCGGATAATACAAAGTTATGGAGGGAAATTAGATTGCAGCAAGACATAGATTCCCTGCAGCAAGACCTTGATAACATTGGAGAGTGGGCAGCTATGTGGCAGATGAGCTTTAATCTAGAAAAATCATGCACTTGGGAGCTAAGAACATGCATGCTGAATACACCTTAGGAGTGGTTTTGCTGGGGAAAATGGAGATGGGGAAGGATCTTGAGGTCCTTAGACCACAGACTCGGCAAAAGCATGTTGAACCTAATAAAAGTACAAGTGTGGAATAAATAAATGCAACATCTGGGTGATTGATGCCACTGGCATTTATCCAAAACTGGAATATTTTCTTTTTTAAGTAGGCTGAACAAACTCGAGACCAAACAAATGTTTCCTAACCTTTCTAATAGCAGAGCTGTATAGATCATTTACGTCCTCTATCCTGTTTCAGTTTGATGAGAATATTCGTATCCTCTTGGGACGTTACGACTTGGACCAGGACCTGGGCGAGTTTCTCACAGAACGCAAAGCTCTAACTATTCCAGAACCTGAACCGGATTCTGACAGTAACTCGGAACGCAAGGACAGCGAGAGAGGTGATTGTTATTCATATGTAGGCCTCTATAGGTTGGCTGCAGACATTAGAAAAGGTCTTCTCCCTACTAAAGATATACGATGTGATATATATAATAGAATATTTGTCGTGTGGTATGTTACATTGCAAAAAAGTTTTTGCACAGGAAATACTTTAAACTATTTAATAAATAATGTAAATACACACTCGCTCATATTTAATGGGTACTACTCCTATCACAGTAACATATATTAAAACAAAAAAAGAGAAGATGGTAGACATGCGAGTACACCACTGGCGCCCACAATTTTTCCTCTGCGGATCTACTTTTCAAATGACGCGTTTAATGAGATCAACCAATGAAAAAACACCTGTATTCAGGGGCGGGAGGGGCTCCCGCCTCTGAACGCAGAGAGCCGACTTGCGTTCCAGTGCGTTCTAGAGTCCGAACACTCTGGAACGCAGACTTTGTGGTGTGAACCGGCCCTCTCTCATGGCTGCCTCTACTATCTCTCCCCTGTTTCTATTTGCTGTGTCTCTCTCTCTCTCTCTCCTGTCTCTCTCTCTCCTGTCTCTCTCTCTCCTGTCTCTCTCTCTCCTGTCTCTCTCTCTCCTGTCTCTCTCTCTCCTGTCTCTCTCTCTCCTGTCTCTCTCTCTCCTGTCTC